AACAAGAGACACTCAGTCGGCAGATGTTAGCCCATATTAACTTATCTTAAGTTAACTATATAGGAAAGCTCAAAACTAAGAAGATGTATATGTACACTAAATTTGATTCAGGCCTTACTAAATGAATTTTATAAAATGAAACTATAACTTACCTCATCTCAACAAAGTTTATGATGTCCAGTTTGCTCTTAGCAGGTTGGCTTTTTGATTTGAAGAGTGAATTAAATGTTCTTCATTACTGTAGGTGATCAGAAGTACTTTCTATAGAATTACATACATAAGCTAAACAATGCAATTTTGATTTTTCATATCATTTATTAGTTACCGGCACAGTATAAACCAAAATGCAATTTTCATCATTATGTTCTATTAACGACACCTAATGTCGGTGCTAATGAATCCAATGTTGGTACCGGTACTCTAATTAATCAAAAAACAAAATGATATGATTTAATTACCAGATCACTGTTCATGTGGTGGCTTCATAACTCATTTTGAAATACCATAGTAAATAAGTGGGTCCAATTGGTCAATCTGTTGCTGATTTTCACAATTCCTCATGTATGCGCTTTCTTCTGCTTCTTCAGGTTGATTGAGGCTCCTTCAAACTTCTTCAACAACCTATTTGATGAGTGATGATGTAAATTTTTTGAAAATAACCGCATACCTTATATTCCAGAGTTTTTATTACCATGATACTGTATACTTTACTCAGTAGTCAGTCGTATAACTTTACTACTTTGACCACTTGTCCTTAGGGCAAGTTCAATTTGCCAAGTTGGATTGGAAAATTAGTTGCCCTGAATAAAATTCACTTGCTATCAGACAATGGCCACTGGGGTACCTACTGTAGGTAGGGGGTATAAATTAAGGGGACAACATGTCGACCCTTTCTTCCACTGCTGTAGATGCCTCAGATCTAGCTTTGGCCCACAAAAAAACAAAATTTGAATCCATGCACAAGTACAACATGGACTGTATAAAAAAATTATCCGGCAATGAAAACATAAATTTAAAGATGCCCAGCCTTTTGTGGCAATGATATTCACTTCCCCGGACAAGTGTTAAGTTAGAAGTTACAACTCTGTTACTTATTGAAAGCATGATATAACTTGGCATCCTTAGATAGATAGATAGATAGATAGATAGATAGATAGTTTATTAAGTTTAAAATTTTACAGCTCCCAATACAACCACAGCTGAATTATACATAAACTTTACAATCATGACTAATTAAATATATCTATTTTAAAAATTTGATTAAAACTATGAAAAATGTATCTGTCCTAAATTAGTTTGTTTTAATTTATTATTGCGCAACACTACAATTGGGTTTATATGTATTGTTCCCTTACATTTGCCATAATAAAACTGTTTTGGAATCTGTTCGTTTTACACACTGGATAGTTAAACATGTTCTTACGTCTCAAATTCATACTAGATCTATTTTTCTCTGGTAACAGTGCATGCAGTTTATGAGATGTATTTTGAACAATATCGTTGAACAGTTTTTTCGAACCAATTAACCACCATCACTCTCCCACTCACAAAAAAAAAATGTCTGACATTAGACAGGAATACAATAAAGGGTGCGATGCAACTTCATGGGTTAAAATTTGAAATTTTGACCGTGGGACCATGATTTCTGGGACTCAAATTGACCATAGTGACTCAAATTGACCATAGTGACTCAAATTTTCCAATGAAAAGAAATCAATAATTTATTTGTAATCATTCTGTTATGTAGGATAGAGTTTACAACATGAGAAAGAATTTTTGAACAGCCAAACCCATTAGATAGGTATAAAATGTAAGGGCAATGTTGTTGGTATTTGTGATTTAATATGCTATTGTCTCATTCCAGAAAACATTCATATGGTTATGATTTAACCTCAGTTGTATTGGAGATACAAGTGAGGTTAAATCAAGTGCTACTTGTTTCAGTAACCCATTGAGTGATAGCACTGACAGGTAAAATCATCTGACATTAGACCGAGTAAAACAATAAAGTTGCGGGACAATGCGGCTTATGCAAATTATAAATTGCTTTTAAGGCCTATTTAATATGATCCCAGGCTAGACATTTGGCACGATCCAGCTTCTATCGACTGTTTACAGTAAAGCGAATTATTCTACTTCTTTCTGGTCTAGACAGGATCTCATTATTTGTTGCCGGGATCACACTTGCCAGCACAAGAAATTCTCATACAAGCACTCTATCATCCCTGCCAGGCGGGGTGTATTCCGTCTATATAAACACACCATCCTGGGGCCAGTTGTTCAAAGCTGGGTTAGCTTAACCGTAGGTTAACCTAAAATTCAAAGCAAACTTCCTGACAGCTTGTCTATAAATTTGGAAATATTTCTTTGAACAGAGTTCTTCTCTGGATTGATAGGAGTTTTCTTCTCTGAAGTTTTGAAATAAACAGACATGCAGAAATACACGAACTAAAACAGCAGGTTAAATTTTAACCTAGGGCTAGCGTTAACCCACCTTTGAACAACCGGCCCCTGGATTAAAACCTCCTGTCCAGCCATGCCATTATCACATAAACAGGCACATATATGTATACAGGGTTCTAAGACATGTTAAAAACCTGGCGTTAGACAAGTGAAAAAAAGTAGGGGCACATTCTGGCTGAATGAGTTAAATGCTTAAAGTCAATCCATTTACATGCTAAAACCAAGAAATATGCACTGAATTGATGATCTTAATAATCAATTCTATTATGTTGGGTTAACAATTTTATGATTCAGATAGATAAGATTGCGATTTACTCAAGTTTAATACTCTCAAATAATGTTCATGTTTTGGCTTTAATACTGGGCTTGTAGCAATCAGCAATGTAGCCATATTTATATTCATATTAACATATTGTTTTATATACTATGTGGGTTCAAACATGCTTTCTCGAGTTTTGTCAAACAAGTGAAACCCAGTATTTACTAGGCTATAATGTGTTTATTCAAAATTTGAATTGTTGATTTTAACTAACATTTGACGGTATTGAAATGAAATAATTCAATATATAAAACCTCGCGCGCAAATTCAAATTTTAGCAGCCACAGCCACAAGATAAAATGGGTAAATACGGTCGATGTACGTTATAATTATATGATATAAACAATAATATTATACCTCACAATGAGCTTGTCCAATCAGAGAACTAAATTTGTACCACATGACCATGGTATTTTTCAGCGAATACTATGACCTAGGCAATTTAACCCTGAGTGTTTTACCCGGGGCCATGGTATTCGAATTCGAATACCACCTTGAGCGGGAAATTCGACTTTAAATGTAAACTTTAAATGTAAAGTTATCAAAAGTTGTGTTTTGAAATTAAAAGTTAATTGAATGGTATTTGTTTTCTACTTATTTTTGAAAGGTTCGGTATAATATACCATTTATAGACCTTTCACTCGGGGTATTCCACAAAAAATTACCCTGCGGGATGAAATATTCCTCGGGCTTCGCCCTCGGAATATTTCATCCCTCAGGGTAATTTTTTGTGGAATACCCCTCGTTTCAGGTCTATAACTGATAAATATTTCATACCTGAGATCAATAAGCCTTCGGCAGGATTCGGAGTCACTTATCCAGTACAAAATAAGATAAATACCATGGACTCATCTTGGGCAAAATATACTCAAACCAGAGGAGGAATGAGGGTCTTCCCACAATGCATTGCGTCTCATTATTATTCACAATTACAATTTTCAACGAACGTTTGGCGAAAAGTTGTTGAAATACATTGCGATTTTGGCTCCGTTTATCTCGTTTTTTCGAAGGTATGTTTTTATAGTTGTATTATTTAAGACCCTAATTAAACTATATTTGACTTGTTTGGTACAGGAATTGCTTTTTACTTATGCTAATTACGTATTGTAATTATGCTTGATTCGAGTCTGTGGACACGCCAATAAAATGACCTTGATATATTGCAGAAGCAAACTCACTTTTTTTGAGGAAAATAAAAACAAAACACGTCATCGAATTCGGGAAGATTTTTTCTTTCTACTGTTACTTTAAAACGTGAGTTTGCTCCACTAAACCGACAAGTAATCGCGGTTTGAAAATGGGGTACTTTCGCTATATTCTATCGCCGATGGCGGGAATAGACCTCCTGATAATCATCATGGCGCGAAGTAAACTATTGTACTAAATCACTATTTTCCATGATAATTTTGAAACATATGCATATATGTTCCTACATATTTTAAGTTTAATGTAATTTCTAAGGTTAGATATGCTTTATATGTTTACTGTACCTGCACTGACTGTATTTTTTTCATTTTATTATAGAATTCGGCTATTTTGGAGTAAACTGGAAATGACAGTTATGATACTGCTATAAAACGGGTATATACTTCAGTCATTCAGTGAAGGTGATACCCCAGGGAAACCTAATAATAAAGAGACACAGAATTTCTCGTTTGAAGAATTCAACATCAAGCCGAACTTTGTTTCAGAGTCCTGGAACATCACCAATGCCAAGGTGTAAAAGTACAAAGGTTTTTACAAACATAATTCATAAAATACAGTACGACTACACGAAAACATAATTGTATATTTTTAATAATACAATATGTTAAAGATTATGCTAAAAGTTATCATAATAACAGTAACATTGTATTTTAATGCTTTTTTGCCTGGGAGAATTACTGTCCATAAGCATATGAGGCTGGGCATTGCAACCCCTCAAGTCAGTGTTTAGTATTTCTGCAAGTCTGTATAGGAGATGTGTTCCTTCTATTTTAATATACCTCTTGTTCATATATCAATAAACTCATGACAGTGTCGGGCAATTTCTATCCACCCGTACGCCAATATTATTTTTCATTGCTGGGAGTGGCATTCCAAAAAACTTATAGTGCACAAATTTCCTGGAGAAGCATGCCCACAATCCTGGTAAAAATCCATGAGTTTCTTTGTTGTGTAATTGTGCTGGTAGGCAGCCTGGCACTGACATCGCCCCTCTCACTTTTGCTGTTTGTTTTGTAGTTTCCTATCAGACAGATTAAACCGACTCCTCCAAAGAAATTCCCAGTAAAACTTCATAAATGGACATATTTTGAAGAAGATAAAGCATTCATTGAATTCATATCTGTTGCAGACAATCATGCAAATGATTATGATTGAAGAGGCTTACCAATTATGTAATATCTCTAGAGCAAAAGCACACCTTTCATACACTTCATCATATACCATTCATGTGTACTGGTGAAATCAATGTGATGCAACATTTTAAAAACTTCTCTTTACTTTTGCGCATAAAATTTTATTTTTAAAAACATTTTAATTATCTTTAAGTACAGTAATATTATGTTAATATTTTTTTGATTTAAAATAAATCAATTTTATCAACATCAATTATGTAGTGTGTGATCTTTTTATTAATTTGTGATGAGCAAGGGAACACTACACTGAAAACCATACATACTGTGAACCTCCGAATATAAGCCCCTGTGTATAAGCCCCCCCCCCCATGTATAAGCCCACCACATGTACTAACGCTCACCTCATTCCAAATATAAGCCCCACCCTGATTATAAGCCCCCCTCATTGTCTTTATAGCTTACAATGTTAATCAAAGTGTGTTATTAATACATGTTTATTTTCCTGTTTATGACTGACTTGTTTATTACTAACACAAAAGATTGTCCATGTATAAGCCCCCTTGTGTAAGCCCATCAAAAATCGTTTACGAAAGAATATAAGCCCAGGGCTTATAGTCAGAGGTTTACGGTAGATTGTCAAAAAACTGCAGAACTGATAAGATGGTGTCCATGGGAAACAATACTTATGATAGAATCAGGGAAGTGAGGAAAACACATGCAGTACAGGAAAACAAGACTGTGCCACTAGAAGCTCCCCAGGTCTATCCTTATAGATAAAAGAAATATCAGTATCACACCAGACACCAATAAACAATTTTGCATCTTCTGCCAAACATTTTGTTTGAATGTTTTTTTAACCCATTGAGTGGTAGCACTCTCCCCCTGATGAGTAATAAGTCTAGTGTTAGTAAAATAATATGGTGTTAGGCAGAGTAAAATAATAGACAACTGGTTGATCATTTGAGCATAGACCTGGTTGATCAGTATAAATCCTTGCAATGCATCACACAGTAGTGAATACATATATATATATAGTGTTGTGATAGTGCTGAATTTCCTCCATTTCATTCTCTACATTCACTGCCCCTCCTTCAGTTTCACCATCAACACTGCTACCACTGGGCACTTCTTCCATCATTTGGTGTGTATGAATGTCCGTCAGGGCAAACAGGATTTATTGGTCAAATAAAACAATTACAATCAGTTGGCTGGTGCAATTCTATTGGTGAAAGTACACTGTCCAGCTCATCAACTTGACTATCTGGGTCACATGGTGGGATGTTGGTGATGTTGAAATATCAACCTCCTTCCTGTGGATCATTAGGGTCGAAGAACTACATGATATGAAATAAAAATACGTTTAATACTGCTGTATTACAACAATTTTAAGCGAAATATATCAATCACATCATAGATGACTGTATTTTATATAATTTATACAATACGAGAGCATTTTTATATTTCTATTTTATATAAATCATCTTACCTTAAAAACACAACTAGAGTGAATTTGTACCAGTGCAGGATTACCGCAATCAGGGAACAATTTCATCAATTTTTATCCCGTTAACCACAGCTGGACAAAGGACTATTCAAACTATCTGTATTCCGTAAAACTATATAAACATGAACCTCACGACATTTCAAGTTCATCACACGGTAATCCTTCCGGAATCAAGATTAAAGGCTGTTTTGACACACAGTGAACAAACAGAAGCTCGTGTCCACCTAGCACCCAAAAACGAAGCTTTCTTTCCACGAATAGTGCAAGAATTCACCATTTTACTTTTTTTTTCTATAAATCTTTTCCAAATCGCTCGAATCCTCGAGGTGTAAACACAGCGAGAGCCGACCGAACAATGACGGCGAAGAGCGAGAAATCGATATGTAAAAAACCGCGCCTGACCGCGTTGCATGCCGGTATGGTCCTCACTCCTCCTCTGTACTCAAACGAAAAAGTCGAAAATTTGCAAATCACACTGGAAATTTGATACACGATATCCCACAACTCATTGCACGCGTGACCCTTGTCTTCTAAAATAGATACTTCAAAAAGCGCTCCCAATCTATCGTAGCGCTAGCTTGAAATTGTAGGAAGCATTAATCTGGCGGTCTCTGGCCAAAAAATGATTATAACTAGAAGTTACTATCGCAAGGAAAATGCTGCCTCACCCCCAAGGAATGGCACCATGCACAATTTGCTGAATAAGGGTCTGTTTATACGATCCCGCTTTGCCAGGACAATATATGAGGCGGGATGATTTCGATGTATTGAAATGAGTCACAGTGCACAATTCAGCAAAAACATTATTTTCTAGAGATAGATTATAGTTAACAGTAAATGAAAGGTTGTTCAAGCAGCAATAATAATCTTCTTGAACTACAAGATCTTCCCTACAATATTTGAGTTCTGTTAACCAGCATTCATTTTGAGCTTTCGTTTAGCCTAGTGACTTGTTCCAATACATCAAAAATCATTCCACCTTCCATCCTGTAAACAGCCCCTAACACGCCTGTTCAGGAGGTAGCAAAAGTGCAATTTGAATATCAAACACCTTGCACAAGGTCGAAGGTCAGCTAAATATTCTAATTCTACTTTCCTGGCATGGGCAATAGACAATTCCAGCTTTTAGTTTATGCCTGTAGGGGATGATGGGAAGTAAGGTATCATATTGCCGATTATGCTGAAAAATTTCAATAAAAACTACCGAAGCAACCGAAATATTTCAATATTTACAAGTATAAGCTATCACTCCGTGTTTACACGGCCACCATTTTTATTTTTTTCAGCATAATCAGCAATGTGATACCTCACTTCCCATCGTCCCCTGTGCACACATAAACTAAAAGCTGGAATTGCCATTCCTATTTAATTATTTTAAAACCTTCAATCAATTCAATGCTTATAACTTCTTGCTTTTGTATGTATAATTATAACATTGTCAGTGGTGAAGCTAGCCATAGCAACAGGTCATGGTATGCAAGTTTTTAAGAGGCAGTCTCTGTAAAAGCGGTCCACTGCATTTCGGATCAGGAAATAGTTTTCTCCCAAACTTTTACCGTGAAATGGCACATACCAGTGAGTTATGAAACTAACTTTGGTTTTTCGATTTTCATAAAAATAATTTTTTTACAGCGCTTTAGTTCCAGGCGACCGTCTTCGCTGAATTTGCACTTTTCGTCGACTGAAAATTACACATATTTAAAACATTACAGCTCACGGTATATAGAACTCTGCACCAAGATCTTTTTTCCCAGTCTTGTTCATTTATTCAAGTGCAAAATTCAAGCGAAATTTGAATGTCGAAAGAAATGCGGGGGGAGGAAAAATACGCAATGATACTCGTTTTACGGCTTTCTTAAAATCACGACAAACTGACCCTCAGAAAATAGCTTTGATCTCCTAAGTCCAGCACTGAAAACCTAAAGCTTCTATACCAATCTACTAACCTAAGGATGTATAAAAAGGATTGATAAAAACATTTTGCGCTTTTTATTTAAATTTCTGCGCAACAACCTCGGACTTTCTGTGTTTTTGATGCAAAATTACATTTATTTATTTAATTAGGCGGTAAATATAAACTGTAATGAAAGACTGTTTATATTTGCTTCAATTTTATTGCATTCGGATTTAAACTTAAATATTTTCTTATTTTCAAATATAAAGTTCAAGAAATTTATTACTAAATGGTGCCGGACGGCTTTGCTAGCTGAAGTGTTTTATTGTTCGTGCAAAATACTTGACTGTTTATTATGCAAGCTTAATATTTTACCAAAATAGAATTTCAAAACAGCAATTCCATTTTTTTACTCATGAAGTTCTAGTTTGGATAAAAACTTGTTAGAAGTATATATACAAACCAGACACAGTACTAAAATGCGGTGCCCGCCTACAAATAAAACTCCGGCGTTTTCGCCTACAAGTATAAAAGTTATATTGAGTATGCTACATTTTGCTGCCGGCCGCCAGTTGGTCCATACACATTAGGATCGAAACTGCGCTTCAAAACCTTCAAAATAAAATATTTGGGGCTCAAAATACTATCAAAATGAAGACAAAAGTGAGATGAATATACTGGTATATGGTCGAAAAGAGAAAACCAACGATACCAAAGTTATCAACTATCAAGGGTCAAACGTACTGCATTTTTAGTTTAATAATTTTGAGCGATTTGTCAACAAAACTATTTCGCTTATTAAAACTGCACTTTAAAACCTTCAAAATAAAATAGTTTGGGCTCAAAATACTATCAAAACGAAGGGAAAAATGAGATGAATCCACTGGTATACGGCCGAAAACGAGAAAACCAACAATACGAAAGTTATCAAGAATCGAACGTACTGCATTTTTAATTAGTTTAGTAATTTTGAGCGTTTGTTGACATGCAATGCAATCTCGCTTGTCTTTCAAAGGCCATAAATCGCTAGAATTATGTTGTTTAGTAATACATTTGACATCCATAAGTATAATTTCTTACGCTGAATCGAACGGTGGTATTTTTGTCCTTATTGGGCGCATAAAACCAGAGATAAGGCGCAGCAAAAAGTCTATCGTGAGAGTCCGAGATTAAAAATAGAAAAGAAAACTTTCCTCGAAAAAAGGAATTCGAAAAACGTGAAGGATTATTTTGAGCGGCTTGGCTTGTCTTTAAAAGGCCATAAATCGCTAGAATAGAAATCAATGTTGAAATCAATTTTCCATCCATAAATACAACTTTTCACACTGATTCGAACAGTGGTATTGTTGTCCTTGTTTGGCCCATAAAACTAGAGATAAAGCCTAGCAAACAGTCGATCCTGAGAGTACAAGATAAATTAATTTTCCTGCAAAAATGAATAAATTTCGAGCACGTGCAAGGAATTTTTACTAGGCGATTAAGGAAACGTATTGATGCTAACAAACGGACAAACTAACACAAACGGACAAACTCACAGGCAGAACATAATGCGGTGCCCAAAGTTTGGGCACCGCAATATATCCGATATTCTTATATCACTTAATTGACCGCAATATATCCGATATTCTTATATCATTAAATCTGGTTTACATTGGTGAAACTGGTCGAAATCTCTCAGTACGTCTTAAGGAACACAAGACGAATTGCGAGAAAGCCGAGCAAGATAAATCTGCTGTGGCTAAACATACTTGGACTTACGACCATCGTATAAAATGGGACGAAGCAACCATTTTGGCGATTGATAGTCATAAGTTCTCTCGCAAAATGAGAGAGTCAATTGAAATCGAGAAGCACAATACTATAGATCAGGAGGGAAAGCCACTAGATAGTACGTGGCGTGCTCTCTTTAATGTGCAAAATTAAATTCTCTTGTCTTGGA